AGAACGGACATTGCCTGTTCGTTTTATATGATCGTTTTATCATTTCGTTTTACTTGCTCTGCATTTTGTTATAATAATATATAACGGTATAATATACATGTAAACTAATTAAAGATAGATTTTTCTTCTCTTCTTCCTTTCTAAAGCTGGCCTTGCTGGCCTTATTATCCTACTTGCTAAACTATATAAAACTATATAAAATTTTTGCAGTATTACCATCAAGAGTCCTGCATAACTACTTTTAGTCTGGCAAAATTATTTCCAGATCTATGTCTGGCCAAATATTTTCTAGACAGTTCAACGAAACCGCGTCCTCTCGTACGCGAAGTACATAAAAGATAAAAATACCGTTTTAATTAGTTTTAATTTCCGCAGATTCACTTATGACTGCGAGTCTCATTTACATCGTATAATCAGACATCTTCGCGTTAGCGTCTCTCTCTTCCGTCCGCGAACTTTTTAACAAAATTTACAAACACGTGCGCGTTTGAACATGCTTGTGTTGTACAGGCTGAAGAGAATGAACGGGCACAGCTTCAATCGACTTTTGGTTCTTCGAACGCGGTTAAATGGTGCGTACAACGAAAGAAAGTAACTACAAGTCGTACGAATGAACTTAAAGAAAAGAAGCGGAAAGAAGCGGAAAGAGAACTCGGAGCGCGCGGAACATCGAATACTCGCAACGGATGACTTATCCTCCATACGAACTATCTTCGTCCGTTCTCTTTTGAGATCTCTTTGTCTTCGATAAATTTACCGTTCCATTTTGAACGGAAGAGAGAGCTGTGCTTTTCATGAAGTAAACGGATTACGCGCCTATACAGCCATTAGATGAGATTTATTGAGTAGAAGGACTGCGCAGACGGGAAGCGATATCAATCTCAATATTTCATAATCATTTTACGCCCTTTTTCTCTGCGTTCATGAAAGATATTTTATCAAAAAATACTTTGATAGCGTAGCTGCTATCACGCATATGATGATACTTCGATAGTATAATTTGAAAATTAAAATCAAAAATATAAGAGCGAGAAATTAAAGAAGGTCAAGGCGACGATAATATTCCAGTTAGAGGCAATCAAAGTTGTATTTAATAAAAATATAATTGTGACCATGAAGTACGCAATATTATTGGTTAACTTTGTTGGCTTATAATTCAAGAAATATACAATTTCATAAGAAAATTTTCAAATTTTTAGTTTATTATTATTTCGAGAATACGCTGAAGTTGAACATTGTATAATAGTGTTAAACATTTCGCTTATATATTTGTATACGAAATACGATCTGATAGTTTGTAATAATAAACTTTTCATAACACAGATTATGAATCCTGCCGTAAGATTAATCCGTTTTAAATAGATTTAAGCTCGATGCTTATTTCAACAAGTCTGATATTTTTCTTTTGCCGGACATTGCTTTCGTAATCTGACTTTGAAATCGCTAAATATTACGTTACCGCTTACGTTACGTTTGCTTTTATACCAAGTCAAATCTTCTTTTCTTTAAGTTCAGAGTTTTAATCTTCAATAAAAACGTAAACTAAAACGAAAGGAAAAATTACGTCGAAAGAAGCATATTTTAAATATATACACATTATATATTATACACAAATTTGATTTAAATACAGCGATATAATAGGGATGTAAAATTGAAGATTGCACGGAGATACTTTCATATCTCATGTCAAAGCTGACAGAAAATACATCGTCTCGGTGAGAGCAAAATGTGTACGTTAGAGAAATAAATTCGAGACATCATCTCGCTATCATCGCACCTCGTATTTGCAGTAAAGTGCACTTTACACGGCTTTCGGTGTGTATTATGTTACGTATAATACATAGTGATCCATCACGCTTGGATAATTGTGGCAAATCGTGGGATTTAATTCTCCGATCCGCCGGTTAATCGAAGCAGCGTCACATTGTTGCAGCGAGATGCGAGATTTATTGAAACCGTCACCGACCGGTGAGGCTTTACGTTGATCACACGTACATACATACGAACGAACATGTAGCACGGATGCTCCGTTATTCGGCATTCCGATGTGCGGAGTTTTTGCGATGGATAATGGTGGATGGTGGAAAATAAGATCCGGATTTGCGAGGCGTGGGATTGTCGCCCTTGTGGCGCGCACGTGTCTCATTTTCGGTTCTGCGTGCGAATTTTGCGTCGAACTCGACTTGTCATCTATTTTCGCAATTTAACCTTTCATTCGCAGCGCATTAACGGCTCTTGCCATTTTTCGTCTGGAGCTGTGTCTGGAGCTTATTCGACTCCCGTCTCCTCCCGCGAGAAAGAACTCGCCGTCATTAATAACAACATTTTTGTCCTGTTTTACCCGAATTCTTGTTTTATCCCGCTTGAATTCTTATATTTCGATATATCGATTAATTACTTTTAGATAATTATCCTTTTAATTATATATATCGTATAGTAATAATATATAAATATATATTATCTTTTTAATTATATATTTTAATGAATTATAATTGAATCGGGGGTTGTGCTTTTTTACGGAAAAAAGGCTTGCTTTCCTTTCCTCCATTCTCCATTCTGTGATCGAGCAAAATGCGTTAAATCTTCCGCGTGCATCGTGCATGCGCTTGACGAGGAGCAGAACGAAACGCAAAAGAAGCTGCAGTCCGGAGCCGCGTCCGGTTGTTGATCCGCCTGGTTTGCAGACTACAGCGATGCGTGTGTCGGGCGCAAACGCGTTCTCGCGGTGTATGCCGATGAATGTTCTTATTGCCGATGCAATCGTACGGTCGACACATTGGCGTAACGTTCGGTGGGTAGAGTTAGATCATTTCCGCCTATGTTTGAAACACGTTCCGAGAAACACAAACATTGCGTATGACGAATAAAATTAGATTTAATTTCATGACGAAACTAACTCTAATATTGATTGACGGCTCAATCTTTCAATAAAAATAATCTGTTACGTGGTATAAGATCATCTAATTATTTCTTAAGAAAAAGAAAAAGCTTCCATCCGTAGAGTCCGAGAGAGAAACCGTCTTTTTTAGTTCGGCCGAAATACAACAAATGGAAACTTAATAATAAACTTTCATAGAAATTCTGGAAAGGAATATATATATATAAACGCGTATACAAAAATATATCATATATTTCTTCTTTATAAACATTATAATTTAATTATTGAAATAATAATTACACACACATTATTACAAATTTATTATGTTAAATTTCAAAACATAAAATAAAAATATTTTTTAAAGTCTTTGGAGAATTAGTAAAGTAAACATTTCATATTAATAAATGTACTATAGGATTGCAATCAGTAACTTAAAAATTTGCGAGTACAAGTACTTGATCAGTTTCGGCAACGTCGCCGAAATTTCCTTTTAATTTCAACCAAACCTAATCGAAGCGTCAATTTTTGACCGAAATCAAAGCCGAAACCAAAATTTCGATCGGACTCTACTTCTGTCCTTTCGTATTAAATAATGACGAGCGTACGACGTTTCTCGTCTCGTTAAGAAAATATTGTATGCTTATTTAAATCGCTATGCGTCA